TAAAAGACCGTGCCTGCTAGCCCTAGACTATAAGATAGCAGTTCTTTCCTGTTACTCCATGTTATCTAACCATCTACCTATATTCTTAAGTATAGAACTTTTACAACTAGTGCTATTATTATAAAAATTTTTAATTGTTGCTGTTTTAATTTTACTACTAAGGTTTTGGATGTGTATCTCTATTCTGTTACACATTTCATCAAAAGTGAGATTTCTTGCATTTCTTTTTTGATCAAATACTTCTTTAAAGCAGGCCCAGATAGTTGAGCTAATATTTGAATATTGAATTTGACCAGATCCTGTAGAATTTGATGTTCTTGTGAAATTTGATGATCGTATTGATGATGATGCCTCACTTTGTTGATCAGACCCTCTTCTGCTTATGCTTTGGATAAGGGAGTATCATTGATTGATTTCGTCTTGGAGTGTTGTAATAGTTCTTTTGATTGTTTCAAATTCATTAACAATTTGATTAAAATTATTATAGTAAGTTTCTAGAACCTGTTTGATTTTGTTATATTTCTCATATACATCATTAATCATGGTAATGATATTTTGTGCTTCCGTTGTATAATTAGCATCACAAAAATTTATTTTTGCAGTAAGATCATTATTAATTTTGGCTCTGATCTTGATGATTTCTTTTGCAATGGTAGTGTTGATCTTGGTATCACAAGAGTTTGATTCGTTGACAATTTTATTTCTAATATGACACAAAAAGAACCATATAATAATAACCCCTACACATAAGTAGATATTTTCAGAGAATATCATTGCTAGAAATAAAAACAAAGCAGGAAGAACTATAAAAGGTATATTGTCCAAGATGTTGAATGAATGTATTTATACAAAGGAGATTGAATTAGAGAATTATTAATGGAGATTTAATCAGAGCTAAGTATTTTTATTTTTAATGAATTTGCTTTTATAAACTTTTATTAATTATACTGTGATTCTTTATTTTTTAATTTTGTAGAAAGAGTTGCAATAAAAAAAAAATCACTTCTTTTATACAAATTTTTGTGAGTCAAAATCTAATTCAGTAAATATATTTGTAAAGACTTGAACTTACTAGAAAAAACATTGATTTATCATCAAAAAATAAAGGTAAAAATTCATTTGAGAATAGAGTCCCAGATCAGAAATACATGATAATATGTAGTCTGGGTAATGAAGATAAGATGTAGTATATATGTAAACTAGCAAACCTGGTAAATAATTGCAATTACAGCAATAATCATTACATCAAGATCCTAGATTTTTATATAATTATTAACCTACTTCTTTTAATAGTATAAGGGTGATATATGATCTTATTAGAACTTGATTTGCATAATATAACTTAATTTTAATTAGATGCTAGGCTTCATTTTGTCATTTTAACATATTAGTTTTTAGCATTAATCATTTACAAATTTATTTCATTTTATTAATATATCATTTTTTATCTATATATTGTAGATACTTCTAAAGTAACTTCGATATATAGACCAAGTATTGCAGAGCAATGACCCAAAGAGTCTACTATGTATATGCTACTGAAAATATGCTGAAAGTTTGAGCAAAAACATGATAAGTTCAACACAAGTATTATTTTATGGCAATCTATTTATTCATCCAAAACACATATAATATTGCTACCACATATGATTTAATAGACTATAACCCAAACTAAGATTTGTTCATATGTTGAACCTTGTCTGATATCACACAAAAAAATTAATTTACTGTTATATATTAATTACATAAATCTAATATATCAATCTTTTATAGAGCAGATTATTAGGCGATGAATCAGGGATTTGAGACTCTGTCTCTTCTTTGAAATAAAACACATAAATATGACATAGTGAAATAAATTCATTATGTATTATTGCAATGAAAAAATGTCTTATAAACTACACGATCAGATTTTCAAGTATATAGGCTTCAGTCCTGAAGAAATTTGTCTTCCAATTACAGATGAAGATAAACTGATTTTTTGGAAATTAATAACAGATTAGAAGAAGATAATTGATATTGTAATAGGTGAGTATCGATTTTTGCTTTATCACAGATATAACTACAAGGCCGGGAAATTAATACATATAATGTGGGTATATATATATACTAAAAAAGGTACTAAGAAAGTATTAATAGAGGTATCTTTATCGAAGATATTATCTAGAAAGGTTTTGCCCACATCAAAAAAAGATTTAAAGACCTTTCACTCATATCAGTTGTTATAGTTAATTAGATAGATCACTACTCTGGAATGCAGACACAGTTGGTATGCTTATTTTTATAATGTTTTTAGATAGAAGAGTCAACCTTTTTCTTTTTAATATGAACACGATTCTTTCAGGTTTTTATTGGATTAAGATCACACTAGTCTGAACTTGTAGATTCAGAATCGAAGCCAGATAAATTAGTCTCTGTCTCAGAATTTGCCTATGGTAGCTTTGCTTTATTTATACACCTTAGTTCATACTCAATAATATAAAGTTTTTCAAAAATTCCATACTCTATATTATTTTCTATAGAATAAAATGATTTCTAGATATTATTGAGATGTGTTTTGATTGAAAGATTTTCACTCTTATTGCCTAAATTTATCTTAGAATATTTCTTAATCTTGCTAACTCTTCTATATATTTGAAATACAGGAGGTTTATTGTGAAATATTTCATAATGTCTCTTTTATTGCTTATTATCCTTGCTTCTGAGAGATAAATTCTTGAACATATTCATGTATTCATCCATTCATAAATCGAACTTAGGTGGGTCATTTTTATTGAAGCAAGCTTTGTTAAAATTTTTATCAATTAATCTGATGCTCATACCATCTATTACAATTTTAGCATCCAGATTAAAACGCATTTT